AAAAAAAAAGAGTACATACCTTAAAAACATCGTGACCCATAGTCTCAGTATCCCACAGTTCCTGCCCGCGTGGAAGGCGTCTGTTTACGCCACGTTTCATGCCTACAAATAAGGGAACACTGATGAAACACAAGCATTATAAAGAAAATATTTCGAAAATGGCATATGCAACCATACCAGGCCTGTAGTCTCCGCCAACAGCCATTTCCTCAACCATGGATAGAACTTGATGCTTTGACCGCCATGACGCACGTTTCCTGCGGCTGCGCAACCACGTATATCTGTGCAGATATTTCATGAGCCACTATGTTGAGATTCCAGATAATGTCACTTACTCCCCAACAACGAAAGGATCGCATTCCGTGTAAGTCCTGTGTAAGAAGTACTTTATCTGAGGATTGTTTTCTCTGGAAGCCAGAAATTGAAGCTTACGCAATTAATGATAGAAATTATTTTTCACCTGATGACTGGAAGAAACTCTTCCACGAACTGTTCTAAGCCTTCACTTCGAAGAGAATTCTGAGTCCAACTAAGACGCAGAGCAACAAAATTGGGAACAAACTTTATAAGCGCTGCTGTTGCGGCATTATGTGGTCGAAAGATTGCATTCGCACCTATGGACATATTATCTGCAAAACAACTGATTAGCTTAAAAGACCGCTTCAAAGAGGGCATGACAGTCGAGGGTAGAACCTCATCGTACAATTTTAAACAATGAACTGTTTTCTTGCGATTAAACACAAAAGTAGCAATATGTACACATAAATAAACACATGGAAAACACATAAACAAAATGTGCTATTGTTTGTCTAGAATATCTCTTATGTTTCTATAAGTCATGGTGTCTTCTGGCATCTCCTCGCCGAGTTCTTTGAGAAGGGCAGCATGAAACTTCTTGTAAGTCTCAACTTTCCCATTAACCTGAAAACGAGGCACAAGGTGAGATGAGAAATCGAAGCACCGAAAAATTGAGATAGTTACCGGACTGAATAGAAAGATATTAAAATGATGGAACATGGAGCTAGGAAATTATACCTCTTTATTTTTCTGCAGTGTCCTCTCCAAAACTTCTTTTGTATATAGCTGAGGGTTTTTACCTTGATCTAAAACATCAAGTAGCTCCAATGGTACCTTCACGTCAGCAAATTGACTGCGCAATTGGTCTAGTTCCTGGAAGTACCAGAGTGGAAACTAACAAAAATACTTAGCAGATAATACAACTATGCACGTCTTTTAGTCGTGCAACAAATTTGTGTTTTCAATTGATAATTATGTTGATTTATTCAAGATAGTATCAACATTTCTCAAGACTCAAAAATATATTAACAAAACTCACCGATTTTCAACTCAAAAAATTAGTTCAAAATCAACGAGAAAAACTAG